CATAATATTTGTGTGTGACATTTTTGTCCAGTTTTCATTTTGAAAATCCTTGTTTTAATCTAGACATTTCTATGGTTCTTACGAGCTCCTAAGTCGAAGTAGTTTATCACTATCTCTATCATTGTGTAATCATTTGTTGTATTTAAATTTTCTTAGAAAACAAATTATTAGATACAATAGACACACTCAATGAAATAATTGTACATACAGCTGTTCCGTCCCTCTAAGACTCGTCAGTGATACTAACGACCTAACCGTTGACGCCTAGAAACAAAGTGATAAAACTACAGTTTTATCCGTGTCTACATTTGTCTGATAAACAAATACCAATCATCACCAGAAACAAAACAAAAATCACGGCAATTTGTGTCTTGATTTTTTTTCTGTTATGATATTTCGAAAAAAAAAATGTGATTTTTGTGATGGGTTTTATTATCTCTCTGATGTTTGAAGTGTTTTTTTCCACGCGTATCTGTTAATGATTGATTTATTAATTAAAGATAGTTTTTTCTGTGATAACCTCTGAAAAAGGTAAGACAAAATAGAGATCCGTTGACACGTTTGTGAAACAATCGCCGACTGTAAACACAGAAAAACGATAAACTACCGCCTTGTCTATGTGTACTTCAGCGATCGAAGAATACAGAAGGAGTGCTCAAAGGACATTCTCTAGTTTCTCCGAAAGTTATTAAAAGATTAGCCCATTCTTTATCAGATTGCTTGTAAAATATTAATTTGTACATATATGTTTATGCATTTACCTGAAACAAATTTACATAGACTTAACCAGTTTTTGTTCAAAGGAATTTATTGAAAAGAATGCATTTTTAAAAAAAGGGCAATTGCTTGCATATCTTAAAACTTAAAACGTATATATCAAAAATTAAAAAAAAAAAAAAAAAAAATTAATGCAATTTCATTTTAAAGTAATTTTCTGTAAATATTCAACTGTTGTCATGGTTGCGTTGTTGCTCTTTTAAAAGTAAATGTTGTCAATGAGAACTGTACATATTGACTTTTCTCAGAGCTACGTCTTAATTACTGTTAACAACAAGTAATTTCTGTATAATATATATACATATTTTATCGCTGATTTCATTTCTGCGAGTTAAAGTTTACAGGTTGAAATTTCAGTGCCCTAGGTTTTGCCGTAACCTGCATGCAATTCTTAAATCCATTCGAACATTGGCACGATTCAGTGTTTAACGGCCTACTGAAAGTTACAAAATTTATTGAATTATAGGGCTGGTGTACTTCCCCATAAAGAATATGACATTTACTTTTGATCATTGATTTTCTTCAATCGCTTACTTGGTTTCAAAATCTAGGTTTTTAGCATCACTGATGAGACCTGTAAGGACGAAACAGCTGTATGATGAAGCCTACTTCATAATTTGGTTCTACCATTTCTAATTCTTACTTTGCATCCAAATGTGATAATCACAGGCGTGCCGTTTGTACAATCTTATAAATGTTTTACAGATTTTATCATGAATCTAATATACGAGTGAATTAAAATTTCTAAAAACTTCACAATCTATCTAACTAATATTTAAGTAATAATGTATTATGTTTACCAAACTAAAGTTGATAATAATATTGAGAAAATACCTAGTTATGAAATAGGTAAGTTAATCGATACTTAAGCTACACAAAAATTGCTACTCTGTCTTAAAAAAACTACAGTTATTCTTATCAGGTCAGTAATGTGACGACCACACATTACTACTGCTTCTCCAGTACAGCTAGGATAACATGAAACGTTATGGAAAGTCAATATATTTCCTTATTCGTCAGATAAAAGCTTTGTATTTCCAATAACTGGCACTTCTTTATGTTACCCAGTTTTCGTATTTCAGCATCCGTTAGCATACAAGAAATACCTAACCCTTTCTGACATCAAAACAAGAGGGATTTATTCTTAATAGTCTGTCTTTTGTGCAATCCTTGACGCAATATGTATTTTGTTATTATTTTGTAATAGTTACTGTATGTTGAATTATATTGGTAAGAATATTTTTATTGTTGAGATAAAGCTCTATAGAAGCTTACCATTTCACCTTATCTAAATTCAAACCATACAGTGGGTGAATGATGTTCTGTCTGTAAATGCGATGAACATTAAATTTCAAAATGTGTCCAATTTAATATATCAATCAATATAATTAGAGTTAATCAATTTATCTTTGGAAACATGTGACTTTAATCATCTAAATATACGCAGTCCCGTCGCTGTAATTTTTGGTAATACAACGAGTTTGATTCTCAAAATAATTATGCCCATGAATATTGTCAGTTGAACTGCCAAAGTCGTTAGTGATAGGTATCTTTATTGCCCATTTGTGGATCTTAAATCGTATTTTACAACTGTTCATTTGCTAAAAAGTACTTTCTTTATTTCACAATATATCCTTTAACTAGCATGGTTTTTAGAAACGATGCAAGCCCTTATCAAATCAAATAAAAATAGGACTGCTTCGTAGCAAATTTAACGACAGGCAGATTGCAGAAAACTATGACACAAGATTTTTGTACTTTCAACTCCAAGGACTGGACTTATTTAAGTCAACGAGTTTGATTACTGAAATTGTTTAAAGTTTACACGGAATACAAACATTTCATGTTTTTTTTATCGTTTATGCAGTGATATTATCACACCTCATTTGTATCTTATGCATCTTAAGTGACCCTTCAACGATCTCAGTTGTGTTATTTCTTGTATCGTATGGGCCACCAAACCCAAGGAAATGACAAGCCTTATTTTCTCATATACTATACATTGAATTCTCCATTAATGTTCTGAATTTTGTCACAGATGAAAAAACTAACTGGCTGAATATATGTAATCTACCCTATGTAGACATTTGGTTTATCAATATGTTAGTTTCATAAACAAGTTATTGGGTAGGGGAAAGTAATGTCAAGTCGATAAATATTTTTTCAAGAAAAAATGTTTCGCGTTTAGGCAGCTTTAGATTAACAAACATGTATACGGTTTTTTCAAGTTACAAATGATGTAAGAGAATTTTGGTATTTGGTTATGAGTTCGACATTTACTTCACTGTTGTGAATTGGTTAGAGAAATAAACATTTGTGATACTCTGATGATTACACATTAAACATTATATTTTTAGTGTTACGAGTATCTCCTTGATAATTAATGATAAACATTTTTCATATGTGCCGAGTATCTCTATGATGATTGTTGATAAGGTCATAATCTAAAATGACATTTTGTATAGATAAGCATTTCTATCTAACCCTGCAGAATATCATGATTAAGTCTTGTATCTGTGATAACGCTATTACTTTTTGGAGTTAAACAATACCACAAACATTATCACAGAAGGTACGGAGGAGTTGGCTTCCATTTTTTTCATGCTTTATAATTTCAAATTAGTCATAGTAACGTATATGTATACTTTATCGTTTGTGCATATCTTTATTTTAGTAAATGATGTTTGTTTAATTTCATTAGAATGTTAACAGCATTGTCTTTTAATAAAACATACTTAGCTTTTCACATAGAAATGAACAACTATTACTTCTGTAATATATATGGCGAAATATACGTGTGGTGTTTTGTTATCTGTTTTTTGTCCGTGGTTAGTATTATATTATATTATATTATGTTATACTATATTATATTATATTATATTTGCAAGGCAACGCAAATCACTTTTTTCGCTGAGATAAAGGAACATTTTTAATTTATCCAGCGCCAATAGTGTAATAAATTTGTTCAGCCGCGAAGTATTGGGCATTCTCTTAATACCTCACTGAACGCATCCCAAAGTTTTAGAAAAAAAATGAAAAAAAGAACAGATTTAGACATGCTCACTTAGTTATCAGTAGGAAAGCTTCTGCCTAGAACAGAATCTCTGAAAAATTGATTATATTTTCTAGATTATTTCCGAAAGGCACATAAAACATGCAATATCAACTAACATATCTTAGAATACTGTAGTTTGCATGTTTAAGAAGTATGAAAACAGATATTCGATAATTTTTGTTAGAATGACAATAATTTTCATGAGGCATGTAAAATAGATTTAAATGCAAAATGAATGCAGTCTTCATGAAGAAAATAAAGATATAAGATACGATAACTATGTGACGAGAATAACATCTCAAATTTACATCACTAAACACAATCACAACGACCTCTAAATGAAAATGTGTTAATCTAACATAGTAATGACACAACCAACAGTCGTAATTTTCTTAAGATATTAGAATCGTCAACCGTCGGTTTTTGAAGCCTTCAAGCCACCACGTGTCTTTAGAACATCGAGATGAAAAGAAGTACCAATTTAATCCGTGCTGTAATCTTTAAATGCTATTAATTAAAATCGTATCAAATGAATTTGGTATTGATACATGACACGACACTTCACCTGTAAAGATTTAAAAACAAGCATCAAAATATCAACAAAGCTGTTCCTTTCTTCTATCCTTTTCATCGAAGCACTGATTTGTTTTTTGATAATATATTTCTATTCAACGGAGCATAGTCGTTTTCTTTCTTATCTATTTTCAAACCGTTTTTCTCATTCCTCTTATGCGAAAGATTAAATGTCTAATTGAATTGAGTGGCTATGGATGTACGGCTTTGTATAGCTCACTTCATACAAATCTCCCGAGGGCAAGCGCCAAGCTATGACAATATACGGTGGGTGCTGATCGCGAGTAGAAGGGGAAATACAGTGTCGAGTCTAATTATGGGCAAATCACAGGGTTAGAGCACAGATGATTGGCGCAAACACACAGAACGAGAACAGCGGCGAAGATCTGTTTATTGGCAACATGGCTCATTAATATTCATGAGGTAACGGCCAATGAGATTGCCCGCAGTTCAGCAATCGCTGTGGATAATTCAGAAAATGGGGTGTATAAAGTTTATATTCTGTGTTCGGTCTAAGAAAGGCAAATTTGTCACACAAGCCAAACTGACGAAACGTATTTAGGAGCAAATATTATTTGAAGCGGTATCTTTAAACATGTGTAACACTAACCCTAGTGCCGTGTTGATTCCGTATGGGTTGAAGGTACCCAATCCAACACCGTACATGCCTTTCGGTTCTAACGTCTCTCAGATGGCACTGGACTTACAGCGGGCACAGTTTTATGACTATAGCACCCGACTTCAATACGGTCTTCGGGCAGGTTATCCCAACTCCCTGGGTCTGACACCATACCATGCTCATCCCGGGACCGACCCGTACATGCACCCGTACCTGTACAAGGACCCAAGAGCGCGTTATATACACGAGGAACCAAAACCTAACCATAGCTATATAGGACTTATTGCCATGGCAATTCTGAGCCACAGAGATAAAAAGTTGGTTCTTAGTGACATTTACCAATGGATATTGGATAACTATGCTTATTTTCGCACACGAGGTCCAGGATGGAGAAACAGCATCCGTCACAATTTGTCACTGAACGACTGTTTTATCAAATCTGGACGGAGTGCTAACGGAAAGGGACACTATTGGGCTATACATCCCGCAAATCTCGAAGATTTCCAAAAAGGAGATTTTCGTCGAAGGCGTGCACAGAGGAGGGTAAGGAAACATATGGGTTTGTCTGTACCAGATGATGAAGAAAGTCCCAGTCCCTCTCCTACTTCAACATCCATTACCTGGGACGATAACGAACCGATTTCTCTAGAATCTGAAGAAAAACAGGATTTGGACGGAGCAAGCGACAAACCCGATAGCGGTATACACAATCCGGACACTATAAATTCGATGAACGTTGTGGTAGTTGAAAACGCTATCAATGGTCACCAACAAACAAGATCAAAGAAAAGACTTTTTGATGTGGAAAGTCTACTGGCACCCGATAACTTTGATACTAAACGTCAACGTCCAGACGAAACAAGATTACGGACGATGGACCGCAAATCGGATACTGATGAGGATATCACTTTGGATGTTGGGACAGACAGCCTACAAAACACGGATATCGAATCCAATCACTCGCCAAAGGACTTGTCATTATCAAACTCAGAAACCTTTAATGGAAATACTGATAAAGAAAACATCGCACGTGTGACAGGTACCACTATCCCCACCCCAGGGGAAAGGTATGGTGACGTCACACCCATTGGAGATAAAGACATGATTCGACAAACAAGTATGTTATTTACTACAGGTGGAAATGACAGTGTCTGGAAACATGGGTGCAAGAACTTCTCGTTGATGGCATCCCGACCGAGCGCTTTCCATAATGCCAGAATGTGTTCGTGGGGGTCAATTTCACCTTATCTTGCAACGTACCCACTGGTCAGTATGAAGGGTCACTACCCTCTCGTGATACCGAGGTCAAATGTTAGTGTGGACACTGCACAAAAGTGGCAGGAAACTGTTGCCCAATTGACCACGAACAATCAAGAAGAAAAGACAATGTCGTCGGATGAATAACATTATATTTCGTCACAAGTGCTAACTAAAGACTCACAGAGAGGTCATTTGTGCATGTATGGTGAAAGTGAAAGTAAGACTGTTTACATGATAAATGAACTGTTAAATGAAAAAAAAAATCGTTATAGTCGTGAAAAAATTATTCAATATTTATCCTGTTAACTGATAGAAGAATCACATATTTATATTATGCTTGGTGCTAGGACGAATAATCATGTTGTTTACATTACTAATTTGTCTGTGTACGTCAGTGTCAAATGTATATTGAAATATGCCTGTTCTTTAGGTATAAGAAATCACACTGTCAAACCCAAACGTAAAAAAAATAAATTTCAAAAAATACGAAGAATGTAGTTGTCAAATTTTTGCCATTTAAGAAAATATACTTGGGCATATGCTTTGACCATACCTGCACGTTGGTGACAGAATACATCGTTTATGAGGACTTGAGGGTCGTTAAGCAAAAATGTGAGTATAAGATTTTATATCACGTATAAGTTTCCTTTGATATCTTTTTCATTTCTAGAATAGATTTAGTTTTAAACAGTACTTAATTGGAAATATTTAACTATTCATTATACGATAGTAAACGTTTCAGGATAAAAGTTCTTGAAATTCATATCAAAAATTAATTGTACAATTATGTAGCATTTGAAATATTTCATATCAAGTAAAACTTAAATCTAGTGTTAAAATCATCCTGCTGTTTCTGATGTCAGTTTTGATACTTGTTAAAGTTTAAATATTGATAAAAGTAAATATCATTTTCAAATGAAGTAATATGTAACGCTATTAGTTAAGATTTCAATGATGCTTTCTCATTTAAATTCACCAGGATTACCTCATACTTTGTCGAAATATTTCAAAAAATTTATCAGAATCCAACTTGAATAAATTGCCGTAGAAATAGACATCTTTCAATTGATAATTTTCATAATTGATACATTTGTGCATAGTGAAAATACGTTTTTTGTAATTTATTTTCATTTTTAATTATCTTTCTACCATTATACAATAATCTCAATATTTTTGACATATTGTTATTGAAGAATAGTGCACATTTTATTCCTAAAATGATAATTTATGCAGATTTAAATACAAAACATGTTTTGAAACGACCTATGGTAATAATTAGATACTTCGATTTATTGAAATCGGTAGAAGTGTTCCGTTTGATAAATCTAAATTTAAAATGTAGAGTAAAAATGATAACATTTGTTAAAAGTTCAATATAATGAATTCATATATACAAATGTCGTTTTAATTTTATAATTATTGTCTGGTTTTAGATTATTTGCTGTATTCAAGGATATTATCACAAATTGGTTAATATATCTTTGGATCACAAAATAGTGGTTTGTTATCACTATTTCTGGAGCAGTAATTGATGGATCATGCTCAAAGTTCAGTGAGATTATGATTATTATGACAATTGTTTAATTCGAAGTCAAGAGAGTTTTATTCAATGGCATTTACTTAAGTTAAATAAGAAGTTTTCATTAAAAGTTGTAAAGATATTTTCTTTTTACACATTGTGGTTGATAAACAAAGGCTACTGAACAACATCCTAAAATCAGCCATCCCATTATCACAAACGTAAAAGGACGGCAGATAGAGACACCGTAAGATGGTTATCCAAGAATTTGTCAGAATGAATCATTATAAAATACAGCATCAATCCTTTATTTCTGGGCATGTGCCGACACCTTGATACCTTTTTAATTTGGGACTTCAATGGATTCACTGGAAGAGATACGGTTGCAAAATTGTACCTTTTCATATCACGCAAGTGTTCAAGATAATGTTTCAATCGTGAATGTGCATCAGCTATGAAAAATCAATATTTGAATGTTTTCTAAACTAATGATTATTATACTTCCACGTAAATTTCAAACAGAATTGTCCTTCTGAGATTACAGGCGAAGCTTAATAAAATATACAACCTTCAGGTCTGATGATAACATGAACCGAAAGATATATCATTTCTATTTAATAGTTTTATGAAAACTGTACCACAAAGCAGATAGAAAGAACATTTATCACAAAGGGTTTAATATTGTTATTTTCACTCAGATCAAGAATTGGGGATAATTACTCATATATTTTCAAAAGAAAAATATAGAAGAATTATTTCTTATTTTCTTTGTTTTACGTCATGTTATTTTTGATGAAAATTATAGAGAATAAAAACAAAATAATAAATGTATATTACCAGGAAGACATTGTGATTTTTTGAAGCATAATTGACAGGTCGTTAATAAGAAATATATACATATATAATCATTTGGATAGAATGGGTATGAAGACACTATACGCAATGTGCATAATTAATTTATATATTAGATTCAATTCAAAATTTATTAGCACATATCTAATCATAAAAGTGATTTGATAGCAAAATAATCAAACATATTATAGAACACATACCATACCAAATAAAACTGTATCTACATCTTTATTAGTCCTAATGACTGACTAATATAGAAAATTAGATAATTACAGCGTGTTTTAAAAGTAACGTAAAGTAATTGTTTCCTAATAACTACTATGTTGTAAATTAACTGCCGAAAAAGACATTGACATTACAAGAATACTTTTCTGTAAACGGTATTATCGATCAAGTTGTAAGCAGAGTGATATTGTAGAACCTAAATTACAACAGCAAACATGTTCAAACTTATATACCGCTGTTTAATGAACAATTCATGTCTTGTCAATGTTGATACTAGTTTAGAATAGCATATTCATTTCCTGTCCCTGAAGATACCCCGTTTTATCGTAAAGTATACTTTAATTCAAAACAGGCGAAGGGTTCTTCATTACTGAAAACTGTCCATAAAATGAAAGCTATATTTAATTTTACTTTAAGCATTTGAACCTATTACAGAAAAGCAATGAGTAATTTATTAAAACCAACAGGATGAAAAATACATTCTTTACTAAAGCTATCACTTTAGAACTAATTGTTCTACTGACAGCAGGAGGGGTCGTTTTCCGTATACGTCAGACTTAAAAGTATGTTTATACCAGTTCGATAACAACTGTCAAATTAACGATTAAAGAACGATATTGTAATTATGTTGCGGTACTTAAATTAAACATCAGGTCACTGATAGCATACAGTAGTTACAGTTAATAAAATGAACATCGAACTATTTTCTTCCACGTTTTACAATTCTATAACGGAAACGTACACCAGAAATTTATAACATTCAAGTATTTTAGTATTGTTCCAAATCACTGTGATTTTTTCTGACGAAAGAAATTTGCCATAAACAGAAATAGTGATCGATGTCTATAGTTTATATATAAATCATATTAAACCATCATGGATAATCTATGTTTGTTTTCATGAAATATATTTTGATTATCATTCAAAATTGAGAGAATCAGTTTCTAATTTGAATTTTCAGGTACGAAAATACACATCTACAGTCTTCAGCAGTGTATAATTATAATATTTTGTATAAAAATAATATCGCGCCTACTTAGCATTTTCTTTACGAAATATATTATATAAACATTATGTTATATTTGCATAAACGTTAAATATGTTGCTACAGTATAAAATGATTTTAAGGGAAACATGACTTCCTTTTTGTCAAGTTTGCCATAGCTATTAATAATTAACATAAAATATTACTTTCAACATTAGATATATATATGACATTAAAGACGTGATATACAAATATATATTTCTGAAGATGTAACGTAAATCACCTATTTCATCTTCATGACATTGTATCTAATATACTTACAATGATTTCAAATTATAGAAGTATCAATACTTTCATTAAACAAAAACTGTAATTGTTAAAACGTATTTTAAAAGATAAAAGATACTTTTCACTCTCAAGTCATATGTAAATTAAATAAAGCGATTTAGGAAATGTTGTCAGAAAATGATTAAAATTCATATCGACTAATTATTTGTTTTCAGTAATTAGTTCGCAATACTTTGAAAATATCCTTCTTCGTGTTCGATTTTTTTCGTGGTATAAATCCATCGTTATTAAGTCTAAGAAATATCAAAATGCTACAAATCTTCTCCTGTGAGTAGATCTGTTTATCAAAGACCTGAAAGAAAGAAATCTTAGATTGTGAGAACCTTGTTTTAATGTCTATCATCAATTAATATATCAGCAAGAATCGGCAAGATCTTTTAAGAAAATTCAGTATGACTTGAAAAATACAAATGCATTGTAATGAAAAATGTTATTCAACTCTTGTATTTATATTGCAAAATAGTTCTTTGTAAATACTTTTATTTTACAATAAGTGAAATATTTGTTAGTCTTGTATCAACTGGGTTTTTATCTCAAATCATTAAAGGATATGAACTACAAAAAAGCTGTAAAAGAAGAAATAAAGTCTAAAATGATATTTGTTTTATGAATCTCCCTGTTGACATTGTACACCCATCCTCTGACTCACATATGTCAATCTGACGGTAACCTTTTGAATCCTACGCCTTCAGTATTTAATGGTCATATGAATCTATCAGTGTCATTGAGATATTCACATGTAGAAGAGTGATCAATGATACAGAGGCGCTGTAACCACTCAAGTACTCGTGACTTTAAGAAGGAGGTAAAATTCACTATGAAATACAAACATATCACAAGCTATGTGTCATTTAACGACAGAAACTTTTATTCCAAACTTACCGTCTTTTATATATATATATATATACATATATTTTTTCCCTCGCTATATACGTCCGAAGTTACCTTATCCCATTAGTCTCAAATATATTATGTATTTAAAGTATTTTTTAATGTAGTTGTATCGGTAAGGTTTTAAAATAATTATCATCAGTCTTATTCATGTTGCGTTTTCATATAATTCTAGAGTTATCAGCGAAAATAAATGTAATGAATTATCGCAGGTTCACTCATTACTCATCAAGTTGTTTTGAGGGTCATGATTTATTTTTCTGTTCCAGAAATTTGTTTCTTTCCGTTGTTGTGTGAGTATTCACGAACCCAGCCGTACTACCA